TGAAAGGTGCTCCTGAAATTATTAAGGACATGGTGCGTGGTAAATCGCAAGTAATTTCTTTTCCTCTCACAATGTGTTGTAAATATTTTAATTTTTTCTTCCAGTTGTTATCTATACCAGATAATTATGAATCAACGTATTTGTCACTTTCGCGTCGCGGAGCAAGAGTATTAGCTTTAGGATATCGAAAACTTCCTGGACCTCTATCTTCGCAAGATTTAAGGGAATTAACACGAGAAGACTTAGAAAAGAATCTCATTTTTGCTGGATTTGTAATCATAAGTTGTCCACTTAAACCTGATTCTAAAGCTGTTATTAAGGAAATCGTGAATGCTTCACATTCGGTAGCTCTTTCAACAATTTAATTTTATTTCTAATTATTCCATTTATAAATTATGCAAATTCATGTCGCTTTTACAGGTTGTTATGATTACTGGTGATAATCCTTTAACAGCATGTCACGTTAGTCGCGAATTACATTTTACAAAGAAACCAGTTACGCTTATATTAACTGCAGCTGATGGAAAGTGGATATGGGAAAGCGTGGATAGAAAAATAAACTTACCTTTGGAAACGAAGAATATTTCTCGGAATAATGAAATTTGGCGAGAATACACTCTTTGTGTAACGGGAGAAGTAAGTTATAAAAAGATATAAAATACATACTCATACTATAAAATACAATGTACATTAGATTTATAAGATACAATTTTTAGGGTTTAACATATTTAAAAGATAACGAACGAGATCTACTTCGTAAATTGTTACCACACATCGTAATTTTTGCAAGATGTGAACCAAAACAAAAAGAATTTATAATTGTCTCGTTGCAAAATTTAGGATATACAACGTTGATGTGCGGAGACGGCACTAATGATGTTGGTGCTTTGAAACATGCTCAAGTGGGTTAGTAAAAGCTTATTAAATTTATATATAAAATAAATCATACATATTAATTACTTAATTTATTCAGGTGTCGCCATTTTATCAAGCCAACCTGAAAGAGTATCTGCCGAAAAGCAAGATAATGTAAAGAACGAACATACCGTCTCAAATTCAGCAATAACAAATGGTCCAAGAAACAATCCGAGAGTTTCTGCTAATACCAAGGCGAGAATACAAAAGATATTAAAAGAACTCGAAGAACAATCTGTTATAGTTAAGTTAGGAGATGCTTCAATTGCCGCACCTTTTACAAGCAAAATGTCATCAATTCAATGCAGTAGGTTCTGTTGTATATGATTTATAACAGTTCAAAGATATGATAATATATTAATGTTATGTTAATATTTGTTTTATTATAGTATGCCATGTTATTAAGCAAGGTCGATGCACCCTGGTTACCACCTTGCAGATGTTCAAAATTTTAGCACTTAATGCATTAGGGCTTGCATACAGCCAATCTGTTCTTTATTTAGGTGGAATAAAATTCAGTGATGCACAAGCTACCTTACAGGGTGTTTTATTGGCCACTTGCTTTTTATTCATATCAAGATCAAAGCCATTAAAAACATTGTCTAAACAGAGGCCTCTTCCGAACATTTTTAACTTATACACGATTGCTACCGTACTCCTTCAATTTGCAGTACATTTTATCTCTCTTGTCTATTTGGTTAAGGAAGCTACTTTATTATCTCCAAAGTAAGTAAAACGATTAAAAGATTATGTGTACAATGATACTTGAATTAATATTAATTTTGTTCCAATTTAACCAGGAGTGAAAAATTAGCAGCAATACTAGCTCCAAGTAATTCATCTAATGGAAGTACGGCTTTGAATATGAACTTGACTGACGAAGAAGAATTGTTTGAACCCAATCTATTAAACAGTACAGTTTATATTATTGCCATGGCGATTCAAATTTCTACTTTTGCAATTAATTATCGGGTAAAGTGCTTTGATAAATAAAATATTTATTAATGAAGACTTTATGTATTTTATTTTAATTTAACATAATTTTATAATACAGGGTCATCCATACATGGAGAGTTTGTTACAAAATAAATCTTTACTATACAGCCTTATAGGCAATGCTACTGTTATATTGGGATTAGCATGTGGATTTTTACCCGATTTGGCAGCACAATTTGAAATTGTGGATTTCCCAAGTGATGTAAGTTTATGCAAGGAAAATGTAATATTTTTCATATTTGTATAAATATTAATTTTTTAAACATTTTCTGCTTCTAGTTTCGAAGTCTTTTAGTTCAAGTTTTAATAGCTGACTTTGTCCTTGCATATATAGTTGATAGAGCCTGTTTATGGCTTTTTGGAGAAGGAAGACATCAAAAACTGTGATTAGTACACAATTTCTATACTCAACTTTTAACTCCAAAAGTGCGAAAAATTGAATATACAACTTTGTTTTCTTGTTTCACAACAAACGAATGTTATCTTGATTTATTAATATCTTTCTACTTCATGAATTATATTACGATTCATACATGGAATACAATGCTTTTAAAAATCTGACCAATAATAATTGAGAAGTTATTACTTAAAAACACTCATATTGTTTAAGAATTTGCGAATAATTCTTTGTGGAACAAGAAAAATCAACGTATATATACTTATGTGTGTATATAAGTATGTGGTATGTATGTTTTAATGAATGTAATTATTGCTATACAATGTGAAATAGTAAAAAGAGCATGCAATGTGAGTGTGTACAAATGATAAGTAAATAATACATAATGTCATAAGTATTACATATATCATTGTTTAAAAGCAATGTAAGTGTACCTTGAGAACCTGATTTATGGAAATTTATAAAAGAGATTCCTGTATTGTACCACAAACGTATAAAAAACTGACTTTGAATAGTGTGTAAAAAAAAATAATTGCATACTAGTAGAAGTTTGAAATTGATGGTGGAATTTCACACATACAATGATATGACTGATTATATGCTGGATTATGCCAGCAAAAACTGTTATGTTGTAATTTTACAATTTTGTACAATTAACATGTCTGTTTTAAAATAATTATTTTCACTAACATCGTAAGATATGCACATGATTCATCAATGTTTAAGCTAACTCAACAGTAAATGTTGTCAGCAGTTATACTTAAATTTCAGGGTTTGTATCTTTTCTTTACTTTTATACTATTTTCATGTATAATAGAATCAAATTTAGAGGAGCTACTAATAGGAAGAATAGATTTTTAATTCCAACATTCCAATTTTTTTTCTATCATATATTTAGGAGGATAAGTAGAATATAAATAAATGGAATTGTACATGGCTTTGTCTACTAAAAATATTTGTGTCCCTCTTTGGTTGACAAATAATGTGTACACACTGAAATATTGGGTGTGGTTAATGAATGTGTATACCTTGGTTAATAATAATATCCTTACAGCAATTAAATACAACAGAATAAACTTTACGTTATAGGAAATATTCAAAATTCAACAGTATGTGTTTTTGCGAAAAAACGGTATGCGAATTTTTAAAGCTTTATATCAAAAATCCTGCAAGCTGACTGTATATTGTTGCCTTGTAATTATCTATAATGAGAATGGTAAAATACAGTCAGTATAAAAATTATTTGTAAAATACTAAACTTTAACAAAATTATTGCAGAACATCGTTTAGTAACAAAATTTTAACAAATAAAAATTTATGCATATTCTTCCAAGTTTCCAGAATAATTTTAAAAGAAAAAGAAATGCGATACCTATTTGTTTTGTGAAAATATTAATAAATATCTTGCAAATGGTAAAAATATATGCGTAAGAAGTATTCGTACAGTTACCGTTTCACAGGATAAAATATACATAGATATTTAAAAACATAATCTGCGTCAAACTGCAGAAAAACTGGGTTTAAAAGACAATATCATTTTGATGCAAGGTAACGATCATAACGTTATAAGCACAATGTTACTAATACGCGAGAGTGGATCTTGTATGATGTTCGGAAACACATAGAAATATCTCCACAATCGTAATATAGATATTATTGAAAATATATGGAATACCTGAAACTGAAATAGCTTAAAGAGAGCTCTTTTAGAAGAGTGGAGAAATATTTCGAGTAGAATACTCATCAATTTGATAAATTTAATGCCTCGACTACTTCAAGTTATAATAAAATCAAAAAAGACCCAACTAAATATTAAAATAATTAAACCTAGTAATTTCATCTTCTGGATATTAGGTAAGTCTTATTAGTTTTTCCTATTAAATTGTAACTACGAATGCGTACTTATTACGCATATATTTTTGCCAGTTTTTAGATATTTGCTAATATTTTCACAAAGGATATAGATATCCCATCTTTTTTTATGAAAATTATTCTGCAGACTTGTAAGAATATGGACATATTCTTTATTTGTTAAAATTTTGTTAATAAACGATATTCTACAATATTTTTTTTATTTGTTGAAATTAGATACTGTACGAATATTTTTTACACTGATCGTAATTTGCTGTAAACACTTATTTCTGTTTTATTCTACATCTTATATACTTATCTACCTTACATCATTAACCAATGATGTGCAGGAACATACGCATAGATCTATCATGTCTCAATTGAGCAAAAAAGCAACAGGATACGCGAGTAGGTTAAACCATATTTATTAAGAAGGAGAATATTTATTTACATCCATGATTAGTATATTTATGAGATTATTATTTTAATTTCAAATTGTGGAAGTTTATATTCTTAATTGATATTCCTTTATTAAAATTTGAAGTGACATAAGAATATTTTCATGATTATTCTGATTCAATCGCCTTTTGAATTTTGTGACGGTCTCAGTAATAATTACGGTCTTTCCTGGAATTCGCCCTTGTTCAAAGATCGATATAAGGATCGATCGAATGAATTATGTGTTTAAACTTGTTACTGCATGCTTAATGCTTGGAAAAAGTTGAATGACTTAAGTCTATCGAGGAAACTGGTTGCTCTGTGTTGAGTCTCTGACTTCACGACAGTTGGTTGTTGATCACGGTACATGGTTGTTCGTTACGACGTTATTCTCCTCGTTCGACTATACTTATTCGTTGTGTTATTTTGTCTAATTTTTTTTTTTAATATTTCGATCGTATGAACCTATCGATGGAAATATGTATATCAACATTAACATCACGGGCCGCGTAATCGTACTTTCTCATTGTAATTTTCGCGGTTTTGTTTGACGTTCTATGTCATTACTTGTGTGAAAGGAACGCGCTTAATTTCCTGATTGGTAGCTCTGAAATATTGTTACGGTATGTAAGTCAAGACAAATAAAATATACAAGTGAAATGATCAGCGGCACTTTATTTTCTCTAATTGTTTTCGATAGATTGTGATGTGACAAAATAGATATCAATCCAAAATATTTGCGACAAAAATAAACAATATTATGTCACATCATTTCCCTATGGATATCGTTTCTGTCCCACGAATATTAAGTTGTTCTTTGTGTGGCGATTTATTCACATCCTACTGCATTGGTATTTAAATTAGTGGTTGATATACATTTATTCTCAATATTTGAAAATGTTTTTTCGAAGCTTATGATAATTTTATTTGTTATCATATGGAATTTTCGTAACGATATAATCAGTTTCTACAATTCCTTTATATTTCAAATTTAATTTTTCCACTTTTTTGTTGAATTTAAAGTTAACTATGCCATGCATACTTTACTGAATACTTTACTAAAAAAGAAAACAAATAAGAAAAAGATCGATTGCTTTCTAACATTACTCTCTAGAAGCAAATTGTTTCGTGGAAAGTATCTCTTGAATAACGAGGCAAGAGAGAGACAGAGAAGATGGGGATCAACTCAGGTAAAATAGAAGCAACTTACGTCAAAACTGAAGAATTCAAGTTATTTGTTTGCACATCTTTTACCGATTATCGATCGACATCAAAGTGTCCCTGTCAGAAATATAATTAACCCTTTTTGTGAACGCGAAATAGATGTGTTCGTAATATTCTCATGACGTGAATGTGTAGAGGACAAAAATTTAGTCGTGTAAAGCGGATATTAGTGCATCACAAATTGTTACTAAATATACAGAAAACTATTTATAAAGTTGAATAGCAAACGTTTATCAGCGATCGGTCTCTACTTCATCGTTTGCTAATTGTCCAGTTCAGTCGGTAATATCATTTAGTCAACCTTCACGTATGTATGTGCATATTATTTTTGTATTAAGTTGCATGCGTATAATTGCATGTAAGTAGCATCGAGAAAAGATAGTTATGTATCAAGAAAGAATATGAAACCGAATATTTTTTCCACTAGCACGATTCACAACGAACCGATGTAATTAAGAAAGATGTGGATCGTGAAATATATTATATATTAGAATTCTCTTCGATGTAATGGTTAATATGATCAAGAATTATGTCATCGCCATAGGATAAAAAAATCTCAAGAAGCAATTAGACTTTTGTTTTGTGAAGAAAGACGTAAAAACTTACAATGAGGTGTAGTGTTTACGCAAGTCTATATCCGTGATACGTAATTATTGCTCGTATTCCTGGAATTGTGTTTCATTAAATCCTTTAGTATCTTTCGCTTTGTTCTCCCATGATTTACTGACCCCTGACTATTCATATTACCCGGTAATATGGTACACAGCTCACTTTCTTGAATTGAAATTGATTTCCGTATGGCTCTGACATCTGTGACTCATCAGGTGATACTAATGCAAACGGCGCCAAATTCAAACATTTGATATTCCATAATTGCTGCTAAATACATTAGTAAATATGTAATTATGATAAATAAATGTCTCACAAATGTTTCTATCGAAAAAATGTGAATAGTGTAGCAAAATTAATTTGCTTATTTATCGAAGGAAAACATAGAGAAACGAGCAGTTTGTCCCGATACTGTGTTCAGAAAGTGCAACGTTTAGAAAGTTAACAAGCTTTATTGAAACACTAACAGCTGCGAGTCGCATTAAGGTCGCATGTGTCAATTACCAATTAGGAATATATACGCAATAGATACATACAATAGTGTAAGAATTCCACAAACTCATTGTGAACTATGGACCTCTGTACGTCTGCTACGTTCCATTAACACTATGCGCATCGGTATATTTTTGTTCTTTAAGACTATATTATATATTCAGGTCCATTCTAATAACAACAATCTTTATTTCGTATTTCTTCAAAATTTCAATAAAAGCTACAATTTATTTAAGCTTATTTATTAGTAAAAACGGATTTTTGCCTATTACTACATATTGCATAGTAGTGACGGCAAGTAAATGGCCGTCAAAGATCCATTATGCGTATCATCGCAAGAGCTATTAAGCTTTCATATGTGTTACTTGACTTCCATTACGTCTATTATCGGTGTTATCAAGCAAATCTGGCTTCATAAATCAGGTTTTCGCTCGTTTCCAGCTTCCCGGAGCCAGAATGCTGGAAACACAGGAGAGGGGATACTTTCATTGGGCAGATTGGCTGGTGTTCGCGCTGATGCTAGCCGTATCTGCCACCGCAGGATTATGGCATTACAGGCGAGCGCAGAAGTCGAGCACGGAAGATTATCTCTTAGGAGGAAAGAGTATGGGTCTCTTTCCCGTGTCCGCTTCCCTCATTGCCAGGTAGTTTCTCCCTTGAATCTTTCTAATTGCCACTGAATTAAATCGTCAGAAATTTGATCGTGATTGATCCGTGAAAATATAAGTATAGGAAATGGAATTTTTATCCTTTCCAGCTTCATATCTGGCGTGACGATTCTTGGAACACCCGCGGAGATATACAATTTTGGAACACAATATTGGATTACTATTATCTCAATATTCTTTTCGGGCGTCGTCGTGGCTTTTATTTACGCTCCAGTCTTCGTTTCGCTAGGATTGAATTCCGTTTACGAGGTATATCTACCGGGAGTATCTAATGAACATGTTAATAACATGTACGCATAATTTATTTATGATTTTATTGTAGTATTTGGAAATGAGATTCAATCGTGGTGTAAGGATACTCATATCGGCGATTTTCCTCGTTGATGTGGTAAGTGCGACAGTATCGATGAAGTTGCTATGTAGCAACTATCCTATCCTATCCTTATCCTATCAGCTTGGATATAAAATTCGATAGGCACAATTAAGAAATTCGAAAGTTCGAAAAATATAATTTATTAACGATTTTAATTCGACGAAAAATTATTAATAACAAAGTTACATCACGTTACGTTACGAAAACACGAAACTTTAATTTGCTTCTCTTTGAGAATGACCAATGGTACCGACTGATCCCATGTTGCATTAATAATATCGTAATAAACCAATTTTAGGTACTTTACCAATCGATCGTGGTCTACGTTCCAGCGTTGGCGCTAAATCAAGGTATTACGTGCCCATATTATCTATAATAGAATATTAACCGAATATTACTAAAATCTTTCTCATTAATTACAGTCAGCGGCATTGATGTACATTTGATCGGGATCATTGTATGCCTTGTATGCGTGTTCTACACTGTTCTGGTAAGTTCTCGTTTTGAAAATTCATCACGATATACGTTTAGCCGATTTGTCGTTAATAAAACGAAATAATATTCTACAAAAACTGTTCCTTTGTTGTCCAAATGATCTTTGTGTTAGACTAGAGTTATATCACTAGCGATTTTCGCTTACTTTGACTTTTTCGAAACTCAATAACTCGCAATACCTCTATATCAATAAATTCGATTTTGCTTCGTGAACGTCTCGATCCCATGAATTCGTATAAATATTGAATACGTAGAAAACTGTGTGCGCTGTCGTACACAAAAAATTCTGGGGTCACGTATTTGAAGTTAAAAATACTCGGGCAGTGCGAGGCAAGGACACGTAGCTTCTACGAGCTGTAAAACTTGCATGCCTCCACAGTATTTCGTGTGAATTTTTTTTACCAGCCTTCCTTCCTCTTAATAATAGTTTCATGAGGCTTTCTCTTTGATCCTCGCCAGCTTTGCTTATAAATATCCGAAGAAACGAGATTAAACTCTATAGGTAGTTAATAAGGATATATTTATACATAGTGACGTTTACTGTATTGAAAATTATGTTGAGGGTTTCTAAAAATTCAGGCGAATTGAAATGCCTTTCAACAAGTTTCCAACGAACTTGATATAACTTTGAAAGGCACTGATCCAAGTGGTAATGATATATTTTTCTATGTCTTTGCAGTCTTGTTAAATATAAGTAATAATAAACTAGATATGATAATAAATAAAATAAATAGAAATAACAAATCGTAAATAGAAACACCTTCGTAGAAACCATGACGGTAATAACGATCCAACGATTACGCATCGAGATCTAAAATCGATAAAAGGTATTTAATTAGGAAGATGTGATAGCGTTGAATTATCGTGACGAAGCTGATTCATCGTGAACCCTCGAGGACTTAACAAGACGTATCGCGGTGACGGAACACATGTAAAACGAGCGTAGGGTAGACTAGAAGTCCAGCCCCGACCGGGTGACTCGGTGTCTAGGTATATGGCAGCTAATTTTCCAAGGACGCCGGTTCAGCGAATTCTCCCGGGGATAGCTGGAGTTCCTCGGACGGGAGGATGCCGGTAGCTGGTAGGAAACAATTTTCGGTGGACAATGCCGCGAAGAATCTCTCACGCGGACCCGGCTACTGGAAATGTTTATGGACGGAAACTGAAAGCTCGACAATGGCCCAGCGGAAACAATGGCGCGGAGCACGTCGAGTGCTCGTTCCCCGTGGTAGCAGATCACAAAGCCAGCGCCGAAGTGATTAATCGCATGCTCGCGCGCGCTTGTAATTATTCAAGCAATTTGTTGTAGCCCGCGAATTAATGAAAATTTATCGCGGCCCAGTGACTCCTTGGAAATTTGTTTATTACCGCTATGGTCGCTTTCGCGTGTCTGTAAGCTTGTCTTTCGCTTAACGATCGCGTCTACCAAGACTGTAGTCCGCTTTTTCGTGCAGCTTTTGAGGCCATTCTTTCATGAAGTTTGATGGTTCTTGTTGTTATGATAAAGGAGCCGCGCGTAATGACGCTTTGCAGGTTGCAGGTGGCATATACTATTTCTTGTAGATTTAAGTGTAACGATGGATGAGACGGAATTCAATGAAAGGGTAGTTAGTCACGATTGTTCATGGCTATCGATGGATACATAGATGAAAGGTGGGTTAATTGGAGAATGTGATTACTAGGGTGGTATCAGGGCAGTAGTTTGGACGGATGCGCTTCAGGTCGGAGTCATGATTGCCGCTGTACTAACTGTTAGTATATTGGGTACTTATCAAATGGGCGCCGCTGAAATATGGAAGATGTCATTGGAAGCCAATAGAATTGAATTTTTAAAGTAAGAAGTATTTAACATTACGTTAAGAAGACAAAATATGTTTGCAACTCCATCGTTTTATGTTATATTTCCTTTTTGTAGCTTTGATACGTCTCCTTATATAAGGCATACAGTATGGACCGTGTTAATTGGTTCGTGGCTCTATAGCACCGCTTACATTGCTGTCAATCAAACTATGGTACAGCGGTATAGGTCGTTGAAAGATTTGAAAACGTCCAAACTGTAAGTGAGTACAATATTCATTTCGATATATGTAAAATTATTTGATATATTATTTGTTTGTTATTGTATATAAATGTGTGATTTCAGATCATTAGCGATATTTACTATCAGTATTATGTTATTCATTTCATTATGCTGCTGGTGCGGCCTCGTCCTTATAGCCTGGTGGTCTCCACCTAAGTGCGATCCTAGAGCTACCGGTCTGATAACTGCTGACGATCAGTTATTGCCCGCTTATGTAATGGAAATTGCGAAAAATTTACCTGGAGTACCGGGCCTCTTTATTTCTGGAATTTTTGGAGCAGCTCTTAGGTAAGTACTTATCATGAATTTATCCTTATCTATAAATGATTTTTTGTTAAAATATGTTTTATCTTGTCTCAGTACCCTGTCTGTAGGCCTTAATTCAACGGCCGTAGTGGTCCTGGAAGATTTCGTGAAGGGTTGCTTCGGCTTGAAACTGACCGACCGATGCTCCCACATCTTTGTAAAATGTCTGGTTGTCTTGCTTGGTTGCATAGCTCTGGGTTTGCTATTCCTGGTCGAGAAACTAGGAGGAGTTTTAGCTGTGAATATTTTTTCATTTATTCTACTTATAAATTAAGTATTTTTTGATAAGATTGCATGATTCTCTTATTTTGTTATAGATAACTGGAAGTCTAGCAGCAATAGCTGCAGGCACTTCTTTCGGAGTGTTCACGCTAGGTATACTCTTTCCATGGACGAATGCTAAGGTGAATTATTGAAAGGCTTGAATTTGCTTTTTTTATATTTCTTTCCTACATGCCTTCTTAATCTGATACCTCGACTGTGGACATTTATGGGATGTTTAAAAATGAGATCTAAGCAGAGACTCGTGCCATCTATTAAATATCGTAGCAAGTACCGTATTTCTTCACATCATATGCATTTTATACATTTTTACGCCATTAAATTTTCCTATAAATGCATAAAAGCGGTCTATTGATATCTTTCGTCAACATCACAATAGACAGATATAAACATTTCAATACTTCTGTTCCGTCGAATAGGGTGCGTTTATGGGTGCTATCGTAGGATTCGTGATCGCTGGCTGGGCGAGCTTAGGTGCAAATTGGTCTATCGGTGCTGGGTTGCTGGTTCCTAAGAAACTTCCAGTTCCCCTTTCTCATTGCCCAGGCAATATCTCCGAAAGTTTCCTGAAACAGTTTGATCGTCCGAAGTAAGTTAACCTTAGCCTTGGCTATAATTATTAAGTCTTTCATAATCAATTAAATCCTAAGTGGTCACCAGCGTCATCGTTGAAACGATATGATCAGAGTTGTAAATTGTTTTATTATCTTATTTGAAACTGTAACGATACTGGTTTATCCTCGTATTGAACAGAACTCTCCTTTGTTTTAGCGAAGACGATGTGTTTCCTCTGTATCGATTATCGTACCACTGGTTTACTGGTTTAGGCACGTTAATCGTTATCGTCGTAGGCAATTTCATTAGCTGGTGGACTGGTCCTACGGATCTTTCTTCTGTTGACAAAAGACTGCTTTCGCCGTTAATTCATTCGTGAGTTAAAAATAATGTTTTTAACTACTCATAGAACTCCTACAAAATTTTGTATTTTTTAGATTGTTACCGGCACCAAAGGACGAAAATATTGTTCCTATTGGAAATAACGCTGGAAATAACGATTTGGCAACAACAGCAAGTCTCTTATTATATGATCTAAAGAAGAAAAGGGTAAATGTCAAAGATGAAATATTAGAAATATTTTCTAGTTAAAAATTTCTTCGGTTTTGATTTACAGAGAAGTCAAAATTTTCCTAACGGGATTACAACATAATCCATGCATCAGGATTGAATAGCTTGCTGAACATTTATAAACACATTGGAGCTAAACCACTGCTATGATGCTGTGGATAATGCAATACTGAAAGTAAAATTTTCGGGTCGGACGCATGTGAAATTTTACTTCTCTTGTTTGTCCCTCTTTCGGTACTTATTTAGGTTTAAACACCATTGTAGACAATACTGTTCACATCGTTATAAGTCGTAGATCGACTTACTCACATAAAGCAAGGTTTTGTTAGTAAGGTCATATTAGGACGCAGTTACTAGAGACGTTTACGAAATGTTTTATATAACTTTTAGAGTATATACAGAATAAATTTTTATATTATATTTTACGAGCCACATATTTCATGTCATGTATTACTTTTCGTTATATACAACCCTACCTTAATTTTTTCAATCTTTTTAACTTCAATTTTATAGAAAATTATTTTACAGAAAATTACACTGTGATTGTCAGTAAAAATGTACAATCTTTCAGTACAATCACCGCTATTAAATTAATGATCGCCCAGGACGAAACAAAGTCAGTCCATAAACGTGGCAAGCTGCGTAAGAGAATCGTGGATGCGGAGAAGGATGAGTTTTGCCGGCAGGTCCGGTTGCTCCTCACACCGAGTTCTCTAACTGAGTTTGTTCGGTTTTCAAGCTTTGGTGATTCCCGACGGTGTCCGCCGTGCGGAAGGCGAGCGAGTCGATGGAGAAAGGGAGACGAAGGAACAGAGGGAAGGACAGAGAAGGTAGACCAAGGGGAGCCAAGGCCCCGGGATATTAGCCGTCTTGTTAAGGGAAAGCTAACGCCGTCAAACGTCCTTATTAAGGCCACGCAAATAGCTGGTACGCTTCTCCATGCTTATCTCTTGACTCGGCTTCCTCGAAATTCAATTTTCGCCTGGTCGAAATACGCCCGGTCAAAAGCGACATCCTCCTCCAGCTCGATATTGTTCCTGACGCTGATCGTCATGATCGATATCCGCTGTGTCGTCACAGTTTTTGCACTGACGCTTCGAGACGTGTCTCACGATTGGTCGGAATCGCTTGAAAGCTGGACGAAATGACGACAGGTGATTCGAGAAGAATTTATTGGAAAGAGGAACGGTTCATCGGTGTACGTTCCCAGGGTGGTGGGGATGAATTTATGGCGCAATGGTACGAGAAGCGATTTCTTGACGAAAGTAAGTCAAAAGTTTAAGCTTGATAGAGACCATTTTGTGGGAAGGTCCTATAAATGTTATCGCTTTGAACTTGACCATTAAAGATAGAAGCAAAATAGAAGTTTTGTAATATAAAGTCTTCTATTTATAATGGGAATAAAAGAAAATAGTTCTTAAGTCTTTCGTTTTATTTATGCGATATCCATAAAGTTTATTAGATAATAGAATTTCCGTGATTTACTAGAAAAGTTTTATTCTATGAAACTTGTATTCTTATGAACGGATCTCTTTCTACAAGGGAGTTGAAATGGTCCTCGTTCTCTCCCCTGGGCCGAAGCTTAACGATCCCGAGTGCGTTCTTTTTCTAACGGTATCGCGGGACGGAGATGCGTGTAGAATAGGAGCGTAGCCGCGAATTGCGCACGGTGCATGCGAAGGTTTCATTAAGAGGAGCGTGCGACACGTAGCGTCGAAAAGAAAATTGCGAGTTGCGGGCCGCGTGCGAGGCTTTATTAAGCGCGCTTCATGCGCGATTTGCATTCGTCTGGGTCGCTGATAGATTTGAAATTCCCACGTAGAACGTGCCACGGTTATATAGGGTCGAGAATTCGAATCGGGACGAATACTCGGTGACGCCTAGCGGAATGTACCTACGTAACCATGCGTGATTGTGTCGATGAATGAAGCAGGTCGAACAGAGACCGAGAATGGAGATAAGGTACGTCGGGGGAATAGGTTGAAAGAGGAGAGGTAGTTGGTTGCGGTTCGAAAGGGTAAAGAGAGAGAGAGAGAGAGAGAGAGTGAAAGATGGACGAAAGTGAGAGAGAACATAGATTTAAGAAGCAAGAAGGGGGAAAATGAAGCAGTGCTGCAGTGGAGCAGGGAAGAAAGTGCATGTAGGGCTTACATTCTTAAAAGGAATGGCTAGAGGCGAGAATGTATGAATTTGCGAAATAGAAAACGACGGAAGTCGAGTTAAACGAGATGCACGATTTAACGGATGAAAAGAAAGTGGAAACATTAGATGGACGGAAGACCAGATAGCGGGGCGAATGGAATCACCGGAACCTCGAAGAGAAAAACTTTTTTTGAGACAGTTGAATAGAGGGAGCGAGATAAAGGATGTTAAATGGAAGGCAAAACATTCGATCCGCGAGGTGAGATTGAAAAGAGATGAGGCTACGATTGTATGTGTATGGAGCGAGCTATCGCATTAGGAAAGGTAAAGCGAATGAAATAGAAGATTACGTGTGTGGCGAGAGAGCCGGTCGAAAATTAGAGAGGGATACAGGGCGTGCAGAAGAAACGTGCGGCAAGAAACGTACGTCGAATTCGAACGGCGAATGAGGAACTGAGTTTTCACCGAGTAGGAGGGAAAATCGTCCTGTGAAGTCGGTGCAAACGAGACGCGAGTTGAGAGCAACAGAGAGGCGAAGTTTGGTGATGAACGAGACGCACGGGTACCAGGGGGAGGGTGGCGGTGAATGAGGGTTGGAACGAGCGAGACACAGAGGCTGGGCTGGTAGATAGAGACGGCTAGAGAGAGGTCGTGGCGGTTTGAATGGGGCTAGTTTGAGATAGTTAGCGGGCCTTCAGAGGCACAATCGGCCGCGATTGGCGGGCCTACAATCACACGTCGCATTATATGTCCATCAGCGCAGCGGATCTTGCAAATACGTTAGCGCGTGAGCCAACGAGTTACCGTCCGCAAAAATCTTCAATTCAAACCGTCGTCGATGCGGATACAGGTTTCTGTGGTCAGAGACGAAGGATTCTTAGAAGCGTTGCAGTTCGCATGAGATGTTGGCCATTTTGGACGTGACCTGTTAGAAAAAATATGGAACTCGTGAACGTTGGAATTGTGAAAAAAAAAAAATAAATTCGATACTAATTTAAATATGCTAAAGAATTGAATGGAGCGATTTTAAGGATTATCCTAGCCTCGATTTTTGTTCTATCTGTGTAATACCCACGTCGCAAATTTCCATTGTAAGGGAAGACAAATAGTAAGCGATATTAAGTGAAGGCGCATCTGCGATTAGACGCAGAAGCACCGAAGCAAATATTGTCTTTTCTAATCTGCTGTTAGAGTCGTACTATCTTAGAATTACCATGGGATAGGATCGAATTCTTAGAGAGTTAATTGGGTCCTGGCTAGGGATTTCGCGCGAAGATTCTCTGGATGCAAAGACAAACGAGAATGGTCATAACCCTTAGTCTTGTTTGCCCAAGAGTAGAGTTACATTCAAAGGATATACTCTGGAACTGTTATCCGATGATAAACGGGCCAGCTACGCCCACTATTAAAGCTTTTCCGAATAATTTATAACCTTGTATAATCTCTAACATCTGACATGTATCAGATTACATGTATCACATCAAATTATGTCAGTTTCACGGAAAAATATACTTTTTCATTCTGCAACATTAGATCGTCACAAGACCTGTAGTCCTTCATTTCTGAAATCAAGAAAAAACAAAAAGAATATGATCAGAGAATATTTCCATCGAATTTTATCCCAGTCATCGCGTATATGTACTTAGATAGTCGAACGTTGGGAAAGCTCCAAAGGTCTTCAATATAAATAGGCATGACTATTCGAAACCTCAAATCAAACGTAGCTGCAGGAACAGCAGCAGACGACTGACGGAATAACTAATTTATCAATTCTTCGCTTCGGTTGGCTCCGATACCTATGGCTATATTTGCGAACTCGTGTAAACAGACCTCCGAACTCCCAGAGCATGTTGTCGCGTCGTCGTCGTTGTATTTGGCTACGGAAGATCTCCAGAAAGCTTAGGATTCCGATGTTATCCTGTTGAATTACGTATATTTGTATTTATTCGATAAAATTTTTTACAACGCGTTATTTTATAAATTATATTGTATCGTATTAAAAAAAGGTATGATATTATATTTTTAAACGAGAGCTGAAATCGTTACAATATTTAAAAGAGAATAGCACCAAAGCAGGATCATTAACAAAAAAAAAAAAAAAAAAAAAAAGGAACAAGGGAGAAAAAGGCGGCTAATTA